ATGGGACTTGTAGGTGCTTGGTTGTCAGTCTGAGGCCCGAAGCCCACATGTGCCCTATGTGTGCATCTGTGGCAGGGTGGCTGTGGTGCCTGCACATGCGTTTGTGTCTCTGAATTGATGGTTGTGTATGCAAGAGTGTGCGCCTTTGCCTATGAGATGCTGGGAGGCTATGGTGTTGAGTGTGTGAACAAGCAGGCGCCTGCATGGGCAGCGGGATGTCAAGTGTGGTCCTGCAGCTACCTGAGAACCCTGAGATGAGCAGAACAGAAAAGTGTGAGGGGGACGACTCAGAGTGGTCGTATTTTCCCTACAGAAAGGGTGAGAAGGAGGTTCAGAGGCCCATCCCTTGGGCCCTCCTTCCTGGCTCCATGGGCTCTCTCCATCCCTTAGACCTTCCCTGCCGCAGAAACTGTGGGACACCTGGCTTACCCTCTCTGTGCCTCGGTTTCCTTATGTGAAGTGAGGGTATTCACAGTGTGGCAGTGAGGACTGAATGAGTTAGTATGAAGGAAGCATTTAAAACAGCCCTGGGAGCATGAAGAATGCGCTCCAAGGGACACGGTTGGGCTCAACCGGGTTGGCAGGAGGAACAGGGTCTAACCCAGAATCATCCTTGCAGAAGCCCAGGAATAAGACTACTTTGAGGCAGCAGAGTTGGGCAGCCTTGGGCCATGCAGGGAAAATGGAGTAAGTGATGCCGGGAGAATCCCAACCAGGGCCAGCCTGGCAGACCTGGATTCACTGACGGAGTGCCCAGGGCTCCTCCCACCGCCCCCTCCCCTCCCAGTTCCCACTCTCCCTCCTCCCAGTACCTTTCTCCCACCTCCTGCCCCAGGAGTGTCAGGCCGAGCCCCACACTGCCTGGTCTCATCCTTTAATCAGCATGCAAAGTCCACCCTTTATGCCCATTCTCAACTGGGGAAATTGAGAGGCTTGGAGAAATGGAGGGATGGGACTGGCAGAGCTGGATTTAGGAACCCAGGATTTTGGAATCTGAGTAGCTTGCAGAGAAGCAAACGCCAATCTGGCCCCGAGGACAGCACAGTTGACTCTCCGCTCTCCTGGGCCTGCACTGGCTCTCAATGCCTCTGAAAGCATCCTCCATTCCCTACTGAATCACAGGCTGGGCAACCAACATGCCCCTCCCCAAGTTCACAGTCTCTGCTCCATCCTACCCATCAGAACTGGTGAAAATGTCTAGTCTAACACCTAGAGGAACCCCTAATATACCTCTCCCATGTCTGCAACTTTGGTCCACCTGTTTGCTCTGCCTTCTATCCTCATTTGGTGGCAAGTGCCACCTCTTCTGTAAAGCCTCCTCTGATTGCCTTATCCATTAGTGGCCTCCTAGTCCCCTGGCCTCCAGGTACCCGGAGACACTTCTCTCTTCAGCACTAACCACTTACCTGTTAGGATGTCCTAAAGTGCAGACCAGGGTCTTCCTTGTATCACTCCACCCCGACCCTGCAGGCCAGAACAAGGATGCCCAAAGGCTGCAGTGAACCACGGGCACACACACGCCACTCCAGAAGCCACTGCAAGCTCTCGTACTATTCCATAGCTAAGGTTCTGGGGTGGATTTTCTTGGAGTCAAATCTCAGCTCTCTCACTCACTAGCTATGTGAACTTGGGCTTGTTATTTAAGCCCTCTGTGTCTCAGATTGCTCATCTATTAATGGGAATAATAGTTCCAATGCCACAATGCTGTGAGAATAAGTGAGTTAACATATGCAAGCTCTTCTTTAATTTTTTAAAGACAGAGTCTCACCCTGTTGCCCGGGTTGGAGTGCAATGGTACGAACTCGGTTCACTGCAACCTGCACCTCCTGTGTTTAAGCGATTCTCCTGCCTCAGCCTTCCGAGTAGCTGAGATTACAGGTGCCTGCCACCATGCCTAGCTAATTTTTTGTATTTTTAGTAGAGACGGGGTTTCACTATGTTGGCCAGGTTGGTCTTGAACTCCTGACCTCATGATCCACCTGCCTCAGCCTCCCAAAGTGCTGGGATTACAGATGTGAGCCACCACGCCTGGCTAACGTACCTAAGCTCTTAAAACAATATCTTATATATGGTATTGCTGTATAAGTGTTTGCCATTGTTATTGTTATGTTATTACCAGGAGACTACAGAGAAGTTTTGGACACAATCTCTGTCCCCAAGAGGATGGGAGTCCAGATAGGAACAGGAAATGGGGTTGACATTTCTAATCCTATTTATTGCTCAAAAACACACTGGAAGTAGTTATTACCATCCCCACTTTACAGATAAAGAAACTGAGGCTCCCAAAGGTGGTGGGAGCTCCCCCAGGGCTCACAGCTCTGAGTCGCAGTGCTGGGATTGAGGGTCAGATCCTGCGGCTCCAAAGTCCACCCTCTTTCAACAGGTCCGAGTTGCCTCTCAGTCTGGCAGGAAGATAAGCCGAGTACACAAATAGCTACAATCCCAGGTAGAAAGTGATAAGTTCCAAACAGCGGTGATAAAGGCGAACAGCTCTGGGAGGGCAGGAGCCCACCCACTGCAGGAGGGGCCGGGGTGGGGGCCAGGACAGGCTTCCCAAAGTGGGCGGCATCTCTGCAAGCTAAGACACGGGTCGCTGAATCCACAGTATCTAGTGCTGTGTCTGACATGTCATAGGGGCCCAGGAAATACTTGTGAAAGAAAGGGAGGAAGGAAGGGAGGTGAGGAGGGAGAGAGAAAGGCAGAATGGGAGGGTGGCTATACTCTGACCCCACTTGGCCCAGGAACTTGTCCCTTTCACAGGAAGACAGAGTCAAGAGCTGCCATCAATTAGAGAAGGGCTTCATGGGGTCCCTGTTGTCCTGTGACACCCCAGAGAAGCAGCTCAGGACTTTCAGGCCAGAGTTCCTGACAATCAGATATTTTGCTCCATACCAGAAAGAACTTCCCAATGAGTAAAGCTGGACAGGCCTTCTCGGCGGGGCAGGGGCAATGGTGTGTTGGAGCCTGTTCATGTGGCTCACAAGGGCTGATTGTTAAATTTTCAGGAACTGTGGGAGCTGGCTCTGGTCGGCAGCTTGAAACTGGCCACGGTGGGAGTATTTACACCACGGACATCGGCAAATACTACAAACCAGGTTCTCCCCACTTTGGGGAGTCAGATGTTAAACATTTACCAGCACACCACTGGCAGAGGTCTGCTCTGTGAGGGAGCAAGCAGTCTGTCCTGGAAGGGCGCAAGCAAAGACAGTCTCCTCCTGGCAGGAGTGAGGCTAAGGGGTTCTTTCTTAGTGAAGGGCTCAGAGCAAATGATCTCAGAAGCCCCGTTCTGGTTCTGAGAGCCTGTGAAAAGTGGGGTTTAAGAAAAAAAAACTAAATCAGGGTAATTATTCATACCAGGAAATCATGAAACACTAGACCCAGAGACTGGGAGTAGGGCAGAGACCTGAGAAAATGTGTGAGGGCCACATGCTTAGATTTCCCAGGTGGAAAACTCGGTCCAAGGTGACACAGAGAGGGGCAATGCTAGGACTAGAACTTATGTCTGGCTGCCCACCTCATGGTTCCTTCTAGGACATATGGGCTGGGCAACTAGGAAGCGGGGTATCTTTCTGCACAAAGTCTGGTGTCTGTCTCAGAATATAAGCTCTGCGGCAGTGTGGGCCAAATCTGTTTTGTTCACTGTTGCAGATCTGGCATATAGCAAGTATTTAATAAATATTTCTTAAAGGAATTGATGTGTCTGAGATCCAGTCTCCTGGCAGCATTTGGTTGGGTGGAGGGTGGTGGGGGCTGGGAATGTCGTCCTCTGACACCATCACTGCCTGAGTCCCCACTCCAGCTTAGCGATGTGGAATCAAGAGACCACAGTTCACATCCCAACTCTGTCACCTCATTTAACCTTGGCCAAACCACTACGCCTCCTGAACCCTTAGTTTATTCTTCTACGAGGTGGGTTAGCAATCCCTGCCTGCCTCTGGAGGCTGCTGTGGCACTCACGTGAGATGTCAAGTGCTTTTAACAAACTAAAGAGCTGTGTCCCCAGGAGGAAGGGGGGAGACTGGAGAGTTGGCTCTGGTGGCAGCACCAACCCAAGGGTCCCTGATGGACACTGGACAGTGGCCAGGCTGCTGCCCTCTTAGAACTGCTGCTTGGGGTAATGTGGGTCAAACCCGCCCATAGCCTGGGGAGACAGGGTCTGAGTACCAGACAACTCACAAAAGGGGCAGGGAGCAGGGATGAAAAGAAGATGGCAAGGGAGAGCTGGAGGAGTCCTTTTTCCTCCTAAGACCAAAGGGAGAAGGCAAACTGGTGATTTAAACAACTGTTTTTGTCTCTGCAGAGCTGTTCATCATCTTCCCCTTTCCCCCTTGGCCTTCAGTATTGCAAGAAGCCTTAATGTGTGGGCTGAGGACTGGCACCTGCCAAGTCAGGTGGGGGTGGGGTGGAAAATCCTCATGTCTTTGAATCAGACCAGTGTTTCAAATGATTTTGGAAGAGGGATTTGTGCCATTCTCCCAGACAAGCATCCCAAGTCCCCTCTTGGTAGGGTAGGGGGACAGGGAGGGAGGGAGGGAGGCCCAGCGCATCCCGGGCTGTGAGTGGATGAAGAAGGAAAGCAGGGGGTGGGGGTGCTCCTCCAGCCCTCCCAAGTGGCATCTGATTTTTGCAAAAAGGGTGAAGGCAGCAGGAGGCTCAGAGCCAGGGCCAGGGAGGCAGGTGGAGAGGGTGTCCGTGGAGGGGCTGTACTGTCAGCCTGGGCCCCCAGTGGAAAGCAAAATAGAAAGGCCCTGTGTCAGCAGCCAGGCCCCTGGGCGGCCAGGCTCTCGGCTCCATTCTGTTCAGCGGGATTCTGGTTGGCACCAGCTGCAGTCAGGAACAATGCTTGGATTTCTTTCTTTCTTCTT